TAAGGAGGAGGAAGGGAAGAGCATCTGATCCTCAGAAGACCTGAAACTTGGCGGCTCCTCCTCGCTAGTATCTTCGACGCCTCCTCGGCCAGTTGAGGAAACTGAATTAAGAAGTCTTGGAAGGGGTAATTGGGAAGTGATTGTCTGTTGTTTCTGCTGCTGACGGACTTGGCTTGATGAGTCTTGTTGTTGGGAAGCGGAGGAGGATGAAGGCATATTGAGAACTAAAGACGCTTTGCTCACTTCAAGTCGACTTGGAGGTCGGTAGTCGGTACTCAAGGAACCACTGGCCGGAAGGCTGCGCAACCAATTGGCCACATACATCTTGTCGGAGGTCATTAAGTTGTAGCCTTGTCCTTTAAATAAGCATAGTATGAGAAAGTTTATTTCACATGGAAACTTAGTTAACAGTGTCTTAGGCATAACTACACTTCTGCCTCATTTACGAGTCTTTGGCTGCAGAAAGAGCATTAATTTACAAAAAAAACCTCTTAAATTTTCTTACGTCTTGACTTTACACACTTTTAGCAATCATTGGCCAACGTATGATCAACTTCCTGACGCATTGAAAAAGCAAACAGCAAATAAACGAAAGAATATCAGTAAAGTGAAATTAAACAAGCTTGTGATAGGAAAAGTTATGTACCGGGGAGATGAAATTGCTAAGTGTGCCACGCTGATGCACTTTAAATAATGTAGAAGATCCTGTTAATTTTTTCTGAAAATACAGCCTACATACCCCCCCCCCCCTGGAAACAACATTTAACCGTTTTCTAAGTTAATATCACTTAATTGTCTAAAATAAATGTAAATAATCAGGGTTCATGAACGTTCAAATTAAGTAATATTTTAGAAAAGGATATTGAATTTAGTTAATTGGTTACTTAACGTTGAAGATAGCTGTGGTGACACCACAAAAATATGAAACGGTGTCATAGGTGATAAAGTGAAAAGATATCAAAAGAGCCGGAGTTGGAATCGGCTAAGAATGTCTGGTAAGGTGATTGAAAAATAACTCCTCACAAAGATCGCCAGTGAGATAGGAACGTACTAAGTTGCTGGAACAGTTCAGAAAGCAAAGCCCGGAAGTGATGAAGTACAAGCTAAGACCGACAGAAAACACCCCTATAAATTGTCAAAAACAACGCAAGATCATAGTACCGAGTGGACTGAGAAACCGCAAACGCCACAACATCGATTCACCTTGGTCCATATCCAGTGCGTAGAATTTCTAACATATCTGGTAAATGAAGGAACTGGGATTGATCATAAAAGACCTGTAATTGGTGTTAGAAAATACTTTCTCGAGTACCCAACCAAGAATAAATTTACCCCTTTCTCAGTTTAAGCAGATGATTCGAATAAGTTGCAAGTTTGAATAAATATGGTAGGGCTCCATAAAGAAGCATTACACATTGCTAGCGTCCAATTATTGACCTTTTTGGAAGAAACTAAAACAAATTAACACAAAGTAGCTCAAATGATAGCGAGACTATATAATCTGGCCCTGAAGTAAAAATCGATAAAAAAAAGGGCAAAATAAGCCTATTTGAAGGCTTCCATGAACGGATGGCTATTAAATAAAGCTATTCCTCGTTGCAATTAGACTCAAGATACTGACGATTCTAGGTTTAAGTACAATTAACTTCTTACAAATTGACTTATTAAAACAAAGACTGATTTGAAAAGAAAGGCAATTGGTAATATGATCTTCAGTCCAAGCTATTTCTAGCCATTGTAGCAAACGGAAAGCGAATTAGGAATTAAGAAAACCAACATAGAAGAAACGAAATTTATTCGCCTTTTGCCCAATTCGTATAACTGAAGTGGGGGGGGGGGGAATCAAAACACGTAAACCCATCACTCCTATCTTGATGCTAATAAAAAAAAGAGAACAAGATGCAACCGCACCTATTCTATTATTTGCACACCCAACAACCCGGAAGAGAAAAAAAATTTATGTCACCAAAGATAAGGATGAAGCACAACAAGCTGCTTAGTTTTGTTTCATGAAAAAAAAATATATTTCATGCAAGAAGGGGGGAAGTGGTGGGAGAGAATAAACAATGACGGTGTAGCAAGTGCGAGGGAACTTGCAACTTGGCTGCATCTGGGCTGACATTTCACAATAAGGACCTTTACACCCAGTGACACGTAATAAGACTAAGCCACACTTTCATTTGAATTTGCTCGAATACAATTTCTTGCCCCTCATACAGACTGTTTTTAATTGTGATTCTCTGTGGTTGCAGATTGGATACGTCCACTCATTTTTTTCCGCAAACAAGAGAGGTAGAAGAAATAAATGTCAGATCCAGAAGTTCATTCGAAAATATAGTAACGATAAGCACGAAAAAACAACACATTTCTATGTGAGATATTCATAGCATTTTGAAAAGTGGATAAAAAGAAACAAAATACCAGGAGTGAAATACTCGATAGGATGTAGTTCTGATCCCAAAAAGCTATTTTAGGAACCAGATCAAATAGGAACATACATCCACTTTTAGAATTATTGATATTTCTAGGCCTAACAAGTAGCAATAACCTAGCAAGAATGGAAAACAGTAATTTGGGACGATCTACGTGTTTACCGTTGTCAGTAACGAAATGAATAACAATAAGGCCAGTTGGCTACTTTAGGGTTCTAAATCAATTAAATTTTGGAATAAGGGTAAAAGTCACTATAGAAGCAATACAAAGAGATACAGAACAAACCCATGGGTATAAGGATAAAATACATGCAAGAGTAAGCTAATAGGACCTCTAGGGTTCATATGATAGAAGAGTTTCAAACCGGTGGAAAATGCGACATGAATACGAACAACATTCAGATGGGCAAATGCATGTTAAAATCAATCAACAAATGACATCACTACAGTGGCGTTAATGTAATAGCTTTCTTTGTGAAACTGGTATATGGCATTTCGAATTCTCAATCCCTGGCACATTTAAAACGAAGAATTAAGAAGTCAATGAGCATGGAATTAAGTAGAAGGAAACTAACAAAAATGCGACATTTTAATTCAGGTCATTCACATTCTTTCCATGTTATTAAAAAGGAAATATGAAACATGAAATGGGCCATTGAGGTGTTCGACTCTCAGCGAAAATGATACTACGAGAACCAAAGCCAGCTGCGATGGAGTTTTCGTGTTAAGGCCACCTAATTTTCATACATAAAGTACCATTTTATCTGAATTAACTTATAAATTTCCCAAGCCTAGATTTGAAACTTCGTTTCTTACTTTTACAGCGAAACGAATAAAATGAGATGCCGTTTTCTGGAAAATACACGTTTACTTACTACATGATCAAATTTGCTGAGCCTAAATTATCCTTTATAATTTAAATCCTATGGGAGGCTTGAACACTGACCGTATTAATTGATTTTTCCGTGACAGAGGACACTGAATTGAAACTAGACATCGCGATTAGAAATAATATTGATCTACTGCTAACAAAAGAGGATGTTGCAAACAAGGTTTACTAATACTATGGACACTAAGATTAGCCAAAAATCGTTGCAGTGATGGACTTAGCGAATAGATAAACGCATTGGACACTAACAAAGTCAGGTCAAAAGCCTAAAGACTGGTGAGAAGTAAATTAGAGGACGAGAAAATAAAAATTGCTTTGACATTCGCATAAGAATTGCCTGTCTGACTTGTCGGTTAGTCGTTCAATTGGTAAGGGCATGATCAACTAAAATCAGAAAATTTTCCACAGATAAACACGGCATTCAAACAACTTATTAGCGACAGGTACAAGAGCTAAAATGAAAAGCAAGAAAATGCCGGAGGTACTTTAGTAGGGATTTAATAGGGTTGAGCTAATTCACTGACAGACACGCGCTGAAACAATTTCACATTAGTGAAAATAAATATATTAAGAACCCTTTTTATGGTTGACAAAGGGTGTAGACGTAATGACAGCCGGAGGCATAGTGAGGCGCACATTGAGTTCTCTATCTCACATTCTATTTTGGGTAAAGAAGCTGCCAAAGACAACTTGAACAAGCATTCTTTAAATAAACAGTATTAGTGAAATTATCCTGTTGGAATTGCTTATGTTAAGACATACCAACAATACAGAAGCTATGGGCTTTGATTTGCCGGGCTCTTACACTTTCGATACAATATTTACCAAGAAGAGTAAATTGAAAAATATTTTGGCCTTGAAACTAAGATTTTACAGATTTTCAATTGTGATTAGAGACCATTGCCCTCAAAGACTCCATTTCTTGACATTTGAGAGCGTCCAAATAGAATTTGGGTTTCGAGGCCATTGGGTAAAAAGTAAAGCGTTGCTTTTTAGGAGTGAAGGCTTGTAATGATTTGTATTTAATATCACCCAGCATTAACAAATCGAATGCATTTGTTAAAGATGATGAAATAAGGGAAAATCAAGATTGAACGATGACACCACCTCCGCCTTTAAAGCTATAAGTGGCGTTCGTTTCTAAAACCTAGCAGACTTCCACTTTGTGATCAAAGGCATGGGCCCTGTAGAATCCGATTTCTGCCTGACTATATTTGGTCAGATTGCATGCATAATATATTCATGAAGAAGACAATGCACTCGTTCAAACCTCTTTTTCGACTTCAAAACAACATGGAAATACCTAAAAGGTGTTCATTAAGAGACGAATTACAGATAATCATATTAAGTGCACAATTTCTTGATTGCCACAGATATAATAAACAGATAGCCCTAATTAATAAATGAAAGACCCAACGCTTCACTACTAATCAAGTTTTCACTGACATCTCATTCAATTTTAGCTAAAATTCTAGCACTCCTAGAGTCACCTTGTCCTTTAAAAATGCACACTTCTTTATAAACTGAAAATCGGTAACTTTCTTGAGACCAAACTAGTCAAAGTATCAAACTCTACTTGTAGCGAAAATAGCGGGAATTCAAATTATCACATTTCTACCCTAGAACCTAGAAATCGCCTTATCAGAACATCAGTTTACCCCAGGAATTTTACAATTTTTTTAAATCATTACTAAAATGCAGGATTTACCGCAGTAGTAGATAAGACCCGATTTGATTAGGGAGGAGATAGCAGCATAAATGGATTGGCGAGGTGGAAGATGGGACTGCATTTCCGCATAGATGTTCGCCAGATGACCATAGAGCCGAGATTCAGAACACGTTGGTTCCACCATGCTGACCTGGCAAATGACCTGGAAAATCACCTCCTCCAACCGCATTGACGCATACTGCGGAACGCTGTTCAATATTAGACCCCCAGCATCACCTAAAAACAGCCGAGATAACGAGTTATCGATTTCGTGCGCAACAAGAACAGCCGTGTTTTATTAGAGCGAAAATAAAAGTAGGCTCAAGGCATAAAAATGATGCTGGATGAATACATACATACCCCGCTATGATCGCAAAACTGCCAATTTTGACAGCAAGGAAACAGCTGCTACTACTATGTGTTGAAATACTTTGCCTCTTGGGACTTAAGGTTCATGCACAATTTGAAAGTGATTTAGTGAAATGATTTTTGGAACCGGAAAGGGGGAAAGTATTTTTAAATAGTTCTAGTGAGTGAAAAGACCTTGCATTGGACTTAGTTGTAAATGTTCTTGAAACAAAGCCATAGGTGCAAATTAAATGAACCGAAAGTGAAAAAAGTCCACAATTTGTAGGTTCATACAGAGAGAAATAGGTGGTTATTTTAAAGTTTCATAGAAAGGGATAATTTGAAAAACTAGCTGACAAACATGAGTCAGAAATTAAATGGCATTCCTCGTTACTTTCAAAAGATTTAAAAAGCTCCATATTTGGTACACACTGAAAATAGCACAAATAATTAAGGTTGAGTAGCAAAAAAGAGCCGAAACCAAGGTAAGAATAAACACTGGCTCTGAAAAACTGGAATATGGAATGTCATTAATTCCTGATCGACAATTAGTTTTAATTCATGAAGCTGGATGCAAGGCAATAGTCCCATCTTTTTTTCAAACAAATAGAAAGAAATAGAACTGCTCAGTTCGGGGTTCCTTGATACCTTAACAGAACGATTTCCCACCCTGCTTTTGTAGACTTAGTATCAGTACCAAAAACAGGTTCCGTCTGTTATTCATTATCAGATTCAGTGAGTCATTGTATATTCAAAATGTGCTGAAAGCTACGTTCGTAAATTAATACGTCTAGATGGTAGTTTACACTAACAATTGTAAAATAGCGTGAATTCGAGTTCCATTGGCGTTTGCTATAAAAAACCAAATTAAAGTAGTGATACTGGGTACCATGAACGAGAACAAGGGAATAATAATGAAGTTCCAATTTTGAAAGGCGAAGCGACCAAAATCCAAGTGTCAAGTGCAGGAAGTCTTCCCACAATTTGACCATATTCTTGACATTTCTCTTTCCTTCGTTACTAACAGGACTGTTATAACTGTCAACAATGGAAAATTGATCCATAATAAATATTATACATGAAAGATCTGCCATTTTTCAATTTTAAGTGTCAGCTTAATGTAAGTGTGGATAGAAGCACAAGGGAAAGAGGAGAGAAACATGATATAATTGAAAATGGCATCTTGGGTCTATTTTTGCCTCCTTTTCTTTTCCTAAATACTGCTTGATTGAGGCAAATCAAACCTGATAAAAACGGGGTGAAAGAAATCTGCACAAGCAAATATAAGATGACATTTTACAATTAATCTTTTCAGATCCATTTGGCTACTTATTGATCCAATATTGCCAAGCATCTCACAGTGTTGTGATTAATTAAAAGTGACCAATATATAGCTATTGACTGTTGTTGTTCAATCATCCCACTTCATTTCAGTTTTTATTTCTTCCACTACCTGAAAAGGCAAATGATGACGCCTCTAAGATATCCAAAGGGAAATAAAAAGAGCAAATGAATTCCCATCGGAAAACCCACACACTGCCCTAACCTCCGATTAAATATCAGGACAGAGAACTCGGTGAGAGTGAGATTAAAGTCAGGGAAACAGCATTTGCCAAGGGTACATTTGACATTTGCCTGAAATTTTCACTTTACTGCTCACACACTCCGCATCATTTTTCGACACACGTCTTGAATCAACTTCAAACAGCTTATAAATTTATTACTAAAAATAAACGTAACAAGAAAAAGATGAATGAAGGCACTAACAAAATATGTGACATCGATAAAGTGGGAGAAATTGAGGAAATAGATCACACGCGAACCCCAAAATGTAGTCGAAACTAATCGTCATGGTGATGTTACAGTTTATGCAGAAGGAGCTTAAGACTTCTGGATACAACTCAGTAAGAAGATCGGGGAGAAGACAAAAAAGTCGCTGAAAGCGAATAGCTCCTTGGGGCTGAGCCAATGACCAAAAGTAGAAATGATTGGATGAAGCAATTAATTTGAACAAAAGTAAAAGGCCCTAAAACTACAAGCATCAGCCTTGGCAAAACGAGGACAAAAACCATTTACATGTATCAATGAAGTCCTTACAGGGATAATAAGAGTGTATTAATAAAGAAATGTTCCATTCACGCGATAGAAAATTTAAGGATTTTATAACATTAACCGCCATAACCATATAAATGATAACGATGAAATAGGGGAAAACTAGATTTTAATATTTACTAAGACTGTTTAAGGAAATTACCTCAGATAGTTATATTGAGGTAAGACGACATTATGGTCCTGAACTCATCTCGGACCTGGTAGACAATAAGTGACTGAGCACTCGATCGTTATCCACCTGCATTAAAGCCTTAAATAAATCTAGAACTGCTTTAAAATCAATATCGGTTCCCATCAGTAACCTATATAAATGATTCAAAAACTCATTTAAAAGAAAAAAACTTTCATTCTATATCTATTCTTATCATTATTAATTAAAATATCAAAGGATAAAGTGATTGAGATATCTGCCTGATTTAATTAATAATAAAGTCAGATATGTTGCATAAATTACATATTAAGTAACTAAGGCAACCATTGTGAAACAAAAGTAACATTAATTCTGATTCCTTTATGACCATGCATTTCGTGGTCAACACATTGAATGGGAATGAACCGTCATCTTAGAGCAGAAATGAGATAAATGCGAAGATAATTTTTGAAATTTGTGAACTCTAGTAGATGTTGTACCCATTTCAAGTCGATACGTGTACCCAAAAAGTTCACAAAAAGGACACATCAGGTCAAAAACATGGTTTAGCCAAACCGAAAATGTTCAATAAAAGCACACACAAGTTAACACAATTCCCGTGCAAAATACCCCTCCCCCCCCCCCCCCCCCCATTATTCCCAATTTGACACCACAAGAACCAGTAGGGCAAAAGGCACAAGTATTCGTGTGGTAGGATTCCCAATGGGATCAATAATATCCTTAAATGAGCAATTAATATGGACTGAGGACAAAAGGAAAGATAAGTCAGGAAAATGCGTTTATCCGAAGTAAATGTAGAGTTGATTAACAAGCTATTGCCAACAGCTATATCTAGTGTAGTTAGGTTTTCTATGCGATTACACGTAACAGAAAATTGTTTTCGGTTGAGCTTTGGTAACTGAAATGCACGACTGCAAAGTTAGAGATCATGGATTTGATTCTCGTCGTCACATACATCGTTATCGGAATGGACAGCTGCTTTGGCTAATTCTAGTGAGTGATAGAATTCGAGGCTCTCATTATGGAGACTCCAAGACATCGCTCGCTACTCAAGATAAACGTTGCAAAACATGGATTTGGAAAGCTTTAAGCAGGATCTAACCAACAGATGCTCGAAATTAATCACTACCGATAGAGGAAAATCTGCGTTTCGAATGGTAGTTGCATTCACCTTCTTTAGGAAAGTACATTGGCTAATATAGATTTGGGTCTGTAAGAAGATGGCTGCAAACTGCCTATCCAATAACGCACGAGACATTGCTATAAAGCCCACAAGATAAGTAAGAAAGTGCTGGAGTGAAGATGCATGGCGATTTTGCTCAAATATTATATATGGCTTCCGAATTATTTTTACCCTGACAATGCGATTTTTTCGATTTATTTTAAATTGGAGACGTTCAAACACGATCAAGGCAACGACCCTACAGTCGAACACATCCCAAAAAAGGCAAATTTAATGAACAGTTTAATGACTACTCCTTATTGCAGCGCAGTGCATTAAATGTTCGCGAAAGACATTTTTGGGGAATAAAATCAAAATTCTAGGTGAAATTTACGTTAAAATGAACTCCTTTATTTCTTAGGCCAAAACGATTCAGTTTTCAAAAGATGAAGAGCTTCTCGAGTCAATGATCAACGACTTATTTAATTGTGACAAGTGGGCAACAAATATGAAGCAGTCTAAAAGTGTTAATTCCCATCAAAAACAAACCGTCAACTTTAGCATACGATGAAACTTGCAGAAAAGACATAGAGGACCCCATAAAAAAAACACTTTATCTAAATCACATCTCACTACATTTTTGTTACAGTTATGTAGATTGGCATAAAAACAGGCAATCTCAGAATAGCTAACCCTTTAACGCCATGTAGCACTATACGGTCCTCTTTTGAAGTAAGCTTAATTGGTACTAGACGCGTAATAGAAGGCTGTATTGCCGTTTGAAATATGTTCAATACGTCTCTGTAGCCTCCTCCCGATACCACCAAAACCATCACCATTGGTTCCACTTAGGCTAAGAGCAAAATTAAGTGATACTAATTAAATGGTTGCTGACATTACACAATTTGTTTACTCACTCTTCATAAAAGCTACATTCAACATGTTAACTGTGATTTTGGCCAAGTTGAATGGGCTAAATCTAGGGTGATTCTCAGCTGGATGGCTGGTTGAATAAAGTGCTTATTGTTATTTGATATATAAAGGCAAGTCTTGTCAGGGTACTCGATATTTTGGGACAATAAAACTCAGGAAATAAATATTACTTGAGCAGCTTTAAATAATGCCTTAAACAAAATAAAGACTATTTTTATTAATAAAAAATTACGTTGAATTTTTAAAGTATTCGGACGTCATCTTTGTGATTAGCCAAAGTAGAAAAATTTAGTGAAAGCAGATTTTCCAAATCAAAGCTTGAAAATCCAGGAAATTAAGGGAAATAATATGTTTATTCTATTAATAAAATGACCACTTTAAAACCATACAGATATATCTTATTGAAAACCTCATTGCTGCAATTAAAGAACGCACCCACTTGGCGATACACCAGTTAAAACAAAAATCTAATTGCTTATCAGCCAAATTATACCAAAGAGCAACCCTAATGCCAATTAGGATGCATCAGAGCACCGAACAGGCGATTTGCATATGCACGAATGTCAATGAACTCCTCTCCCTCCCTCCCTCCCTCCCTCCCCCCCCNCCCCCCCCCCCCCCCCCCCCCCCCCCCCCCCCCCCCCCCACCCCACTTCCCATATATCCTGCGGTAATTATAGAATTGAGACCGAATGAGTCACTGGCTCTATAAATGCCATTTTCGTATTATATAGCTATCGCACTTATTTTACGACCACAGTCACCAGCAGCAGCACAATGCTAACACTGTGTCCGTGTCTCGGTTAGTTCCGGACAAAAACAAATTTTCAGCAGATGGTTGGTTGGCTCTCATTTTCACAATTTGACAGAGTCCAGCATGATTGATGACAGTAGAAGAAGGCCATAGAAACAACACTTATGAAAAATTCACTGCATTATCAAACTCCTTCCACTTAAAGATTGTAATCAATTTAAGTGAATAATGCCATATACCACGGCTGATTAAACGCTATTTACACTATTTAAAGGTGGTTGATGCACTATTTTTATTGGATCGGCTAGGCCAACAACTTTCTGTGTATAAGGCAAAAAAGAAAGTACGAAAGAAAAGTACGTTTGATCGTCCATCAAAAAAGGTTCGTGAATTGTAAACATAACACCAAAATACAGAAAGAAAGAAAACTGCAAAAGACTAAACGCACAGCAAGTCTGGTAAGATATTCTCAATTGAACAATGCATAAATATATTTGAGGATATAAAAGTATATCGAGGCGGGGTATGACCGACCACCAAATTCAATCAACCAGAAATGAAGCGCATTACCGCTTCAGTGAGATGAGGAACCAATTAAAAAACAGGACACACCATTTTGCTCCTAAGCGAGTTAGAACTGGACATTACCTCAACCATGAGAATACGTGTGTCAGGAAAGCGTCCCCGAATAAAACAACAGCAAAAAGCTTATGCCTTTAACAATTTTCAAGGCTTGAAATACGAATAATGTTATATAAGTCAAAGCTGCAATAAAAATAAAAATTAAAAAATTATTACAAAACTAACGACAGTTAATAATTCAAAAAAGGTCTTAAAGACAAAGAGATCTATTTTTATAATGTACATGCTTCTATCATTGCCTCTGAAAGCGCAAGAACTTGAAGAGTTTGTAACCACTGAAAAAAGGGTTCGGTAAGGGATGAAACAGGAGGAGGGATCAGAAGAAAACAGACATCGAATTGTCCATAATCTCATAAGACTAAGTGTTCATGGAGTGATATCCTAATACTCAATCTTAAATTTGCCCATAGAATCATGGCTAAGATAATGTCCACGCTAACGAAGGTTTGTTGGTCGAAAGTTCATTGATAAAGCCACTTCAATTTACTTGAATTTTCAGTCGCCTAAGGGAGAATAGAAGAGACTAGCAAAATTTTACTGAAACACAGTGTCTACCAAATCATTTTTATGTTTCCTACCAAAGTAGAACTACATGAAGAAAAAACCCACTTGCCAAACAGGTTTCAGAAAAAAAAATACTAAGATTGTAGATATCTGATATTTCTAAAAAGCATGAATCCAAGTACCCAATAGTTAGTAACCTAATTACACCGCATTTATTAATTGAATAAATATTATATAAGCACTATTAATATCAACGGATGCCGCAGTAATTAATGTGCAAGTCAGAGAAATGAGAAGTAACGTTCATCGAAGTGCATCTTGTGACAGAAATGGTCAAGCGCACTAGTCAAGTCATGACTGACCTCGAGCTTCTCAAAAAAAATTTTTTATGATGAGGCACTAAAGGAACCTTAGATTTTTCATAGATTGTTAGAAATTATTCAACAATTATCGTGAACAAAAAAGAATTAACAGATTAATGATCCATGTATCAACAAAAAGATTATAAAATATCATAGTAGTCCGACAGTTTACTTTTTTGATAAAAAGAAAACTACGTTTAAATAAAAAAATGGTGACAAAAATGATTAAAACAACCTTTAAGAAATCTAAACTTTATTACTATTGAACCAATTTATAACAGTGAATGAATGAAATTGGACCAATGAATTCCAAATTTGGTAACATAAGAAATAAGGGAAAAGTTCAGGAAACGCTAATTTGCTGAAAATTATCAGAATCATAAAAACAGAAAACATGAAATAAAGAGTACGCAACTTAATGGAATAATTGAGAGAGCTAATGAAAGTATCACATTGAGTAAAATAAACTATTTTAAAACTTATAATAAGAACTGAAAACGATGTTTAAAAATCTCAAAACTTGCCAATTGATTCGATACGAAAACCGGGGGGAGGTTGCAACTGAGCGCGCATCCAACAGCTCTTGAGGGTACGGAGAGAGGCTTGGTCCCCACCAATTAGAATTACAAAGGGTTCAATATGACCAAGAAGAAGACACTTTTTAAGTGCTTGACTCAGATATGGGTTTATAGTATTTGCAACATTAACATTGAGAAATGATTTATAAACGTCGTAAATATTGAAGGGACGAACACCTAACGCAAATTCCTGCTTGAAAGCGATGGCTATACAGCGTGTAGAAGATAGAATTCCCAAATTCATAACCGTGTAAAATGTATCAGCAAACAGACTCGAGAGCGAAGGCAAACCCAATCACGAGAACGCAAACTACAGGATAAATCATTTTATGATATTCAACTTGTCACATTACATTTTGCTAATTAAAACAAATCTCAACCAGTTATATTTTGCGCTTCTGTAGTTTAAATTATTATTTTTTATAGCCTACTTTAGTTACCAATAAAAATTTCTTCGATTGGAGGCTTTAATTTCAGGAACCGAATTTAATTTATTTTACAATAACTATTTATTCAGAACTAACTGAAGGCGAAAAAGACTCAAATTTTGTCCGCTTTATTATATATAATTTTTAAATCAACTTTTGCAACACTAGCGTACATTAATGAAAATATTAATTTGTTCATCGTTAAAGCACTCAGCAATATAAAAACGAGTAGTTAGAAGAATTCGCTCACCACAAAAATAACTTTTAGCAATGATTATTTGTGTCATAAAGGTATTTCAATTAAGTAACATTATAAAATTCCTTTTAATCAAGTTATGCTTTGAAACCAAGATCTGATGTTAAGCGTACTGCGATTTTTATTTGAATTTCCTTTTCTGTTCAAGTTTAAACTAATCCTTTTTTAAAGCTAATCTCGTTAGTGCTAATGTCATTTTTTGAAATTTCAATTACATAAATATTTTGTGCATAACCAATACCAAAGCCAACTTTAATTTTTAGTATAACGCGTAACTTGAGTGATTTAATGTCCTTTTTTCTTCTTATTTTAAATTGATATTCTAGGATCGGGTTCTTCAGAATTTGAATCCTCAAAATATTAATAAGACGCTTATTGCTTGATTTCACTTCAGCAAGTGAAAGATGGTTGAAAATATCAGAAATAATATAAGGGATAAAGATGCTCATTGATTTTTCCCAACGTAGCTGGTAAATTATTGCACATTAAGTTAAAATGGGAAATCGGTTTTATTATTCAGATTGTAATATTAAAACTTACTGCAATATATATGTTAAATGGTTTGAGCATGGAACGAAAGAAATATTTAAACCGGTAGTTGACTTCAAACTACCATGACCCATTTGTATGCAAAATTCGACTATATCCACAATACTCACCGTACCCTACTCTTGGCCTTTGTGTCCGCCTGTCTGTCTGTCTCTTTCAAATCTGTGAATCACTCGTCTGTCCCTTCAACCTCTACCTTTTGTGAACTTGATGTCTCTCACTCTGTGAAGACCGAATTCAACTAAAGGGCTAATGATAACTATCTTGTCATAGTAATGACCTCAATTCCATTGAAATTTTCCCCAACTAATATGCTGCTTGATATATTTTTACCTTGTGGACTATTCAAGATAACTGTATTTGATAACATCACTCAATCATCTCCTACCCTGATTATACAAATTTTCGGCAGTCATAATATCACCCAATTATGTCTTTATCCAAATCAGTAATAACCAATTGACCACCGATACATTATCAATTCGAAGACGATATTTTAGAAGCCACCTCTGGAGTGGAAGCTGTGAGTAACTACCGACGTGTCTCTTTTAAGTATTAAATGACGATGAATTCATTTTAAATGAACCCAGTATTGCACAAAATCCTATCCTTTCACTTTACCATATTTCTTAACCATTTCTAGTTCATCTATATCCCCTTACCTCTAAAGACACTTCTTAACATCACAGTAGTTTACGTGCTTGATCATCGTTCCAGAGACACATAAGCGCATGGGTGCTAAATAAAGTAGATTCCAGTGGCCTAACTAGAGTTCGACATCGAACAATTTCCGCACAACGGTAACCAATTAATTCATCAATACTAGAAACAGATCTTCATTAATATCAATTCTGGAAATCAAACTCAACAGTAAATAAACCTTCATTTGCCACTTCTCAGGAAACCCGTGAAGAGATACAACTTGGATCTAACATGAAAGACAATAATGAACAAACATTCCTTTATTTTGTTATCATTTATTTAAAATTTCTATAATGGATTGTCTATCTTTCTTGGACATAAATATGACATAACAGAGAAATTTGGTTTAATCCAGTGTCTAATTCATTCTTTTAATATGAGGAATATTATTGTAAAATAATCAAATAGTATGAGAACAATTCTAAAGATGCAATTGTTAATTTAGAAACATTAATAATCTGTAGACCAGGTTGGATGATTTTTTGCCCAAGCTTTCGAGTTTTAATATTATAAACGTCGTATAATAATTAACAATGGCTGGCTTTTGAAAGGAATTGCTAAATATACATGACTTGAAATATGCTCACTATTGCTTTGATGGAGACATTATTTTGTCATTATCCTCACTCTATTTATTTGCTTTATATTTCATATTAAAATAGATAAGAGTCATTATGAGAGATCGAAGCAATCTCGTTGCAGTAGCCTTTATATGGAAGGTCTCCTAAATAGCTAAAAGATTCCAACTTTCGTACGATCAATTAGTTGAATCCGAAGTTTATTAATAGATAATCTTATTAAACCACATATAAGACCGAAATCAAATTCATGAAAGCATGACACACCAATAATTGTCATTAGTGAGCACAGTCATTGGGAAACGATGGAGTATGTTTAACTGAATAATAGAAACATAGACTTATTTTGAATTAAAAAAATAGGGCAAATTTTGCTTTTAATAAAAATCAATGAATGTATCCTTTCGAAATGAGGCAGAATAACTAAAAAGTCAAGTTATTTTAGCAAAAATGAACGCTAGTGTTACTAGTAGTTTTAATTGGATACAAACCATGTGGACTTTTGAAAAGCAACAGGGTAAGGTTACTGCCAGTAGGCATGTAGAAGCTTTCAGTGTGGTAATTTTTACGAATTTCGGATTTTACGTTTGTGACCAAGTTATATTCATTATTTTGCTTCGATTGAAATTCGTCAACGGTGTCTAACAATTTTGCATATGCTTATTTTAACTTTTGAAACTTTAAAATAAAATTTATACAACCATATGGACGGATTATTAAATAACTCTGATTGAAAATTTTAGCCCCATTAAATGGAACAATTAAGGGAATCTAAAAAGCTTGAAGCTCGCGTTGATTTTAATTCAAATGTTGATGTTTCCGTAATGGAAACGACTTCGACAGATGAAAAAGACGACGAGGAGGAGGATGAAGAAAAGGAGGAAAATATGATTGTCGAAAAGTCCCATAACAATCGATTCATTAAACGAAATAAGCGTTTACCGACCCAAATTAGTGGTGTCGACAATACCTTTATTGCCATTGAGCCAAAATCGGGAAAGGAGATTTTATGGCATGAACGAATATTATCAGAAAATAAAAATGAGCGTGAAGGCCGCTTTCTTACAATTGCCAAAAAGCTTAAGAGGCAGTCACATCCTTTTCTTGTCCGCTTTCTTGATGCTTGGATAAAAATCGAAACAGGTCAGAGGAAGCTCATTTTCCTAAATGAAAGGTTGGATGATGGGACTCTAAAGCAATTTCTCTGCAATTCTACTTCAAGGTCAAAACAGGCATGTTTGATTGCGCTGATTTTATTCTCTCTGTCGTATTAGATTTGGCGTCGGCATGTTGGTCAGTTGCTTTCTGTTCTTAATTATCTCCATCGTCTTGGTATTACACATGGAAATCTGAAAAAAGAGGATATATACTATCAAAGCTCAGGAATTCTCAAAGTCGGACCATGTATGTTAAAGACTATCGATGCAGTAATTGTTTATTTCTTTTTTAGTCATGCTTGATACTTTCTTCGGTCAAAAAACTCACCCCTCTGATATCTATGCATTTGGTATTTTGGCTCTTGAAGTAAGTTTACAGTCTTTCATCCTAAAATTACTTTCAAGCACACTTCTTTTAAATGTCTTGATTTTTTTGTGGAACACATTTTTTGGTAAATCTATGTTAAATCTTACTCGTGTTACAAACGGAACTGTCCTGAAATGTATGTAATGGAACTTCATTTTTCAAGTACAGCTAAAAGCGGAGTTTTTACAGTGACATATCTATGATTTTCTCATTTATATAATTCTTAATATGCATTCTAATAATGTTATCCCTCAATTTCGCTAGATTATTATTCATGTTAATATTATAGTTTAATACGGTTTCCTTGAACTTGTGGTACATTTCGATCCTCGTTCATTCATTTGTATAGATTGCGGTGTGGACCCTAGCCATAGACAGTCAGGCGAGTACAGAGGAGGAGAAGGTGAAGTTGATGCTCTCACAATTGACTGATCCCCAACAGCGCAGTTTCATCGAGGCTTGCATTGATCCAAATCCCACCAATCGGCCCAAGATAAAAGCCCTCCTCAATCACCCCGCAGTTACCGAGGTACCCTCACTCAGACTCCTTTCTGCCAAAGTCGTCGTCTCATCCCGTAAGTCCTATGGTCTATTAATTTGGCTCATTTGCACCAAGACACAATGATTTCATGAACCAGTTAAATGATAGAAGGAGTATGCTCAGAATTAGTTAATTTTAAAAGGTAGCTTCATTCCCATCTTTGGTGTTATAAGTTTATCTGTTCGCTCAAATTAAATTAACGTCCGGTAATTGGAATCCTATTTCGTGTGCCTGTTTGTAGACACTGAATTTACTCTCTGCGTCACAAAATAAACGTTACAGGACAGTTTTACGATCTTCCTGACACAGGACAGGGCAGATGTCACTTGTACGACAATGCTTTCACTTTTTGAATTATGTAAGCGAGCGGAGAATAGTGCTTTTTGTTGGTAACTTGATGAATCTAAGTTACTTGGCGCTTGTATTATATGCAGCCTTGCTTACGGATGGGAAGTAAGAGTCACGAAATAAATTTAATTTTCAACTTTGATTGATGTTGGTCAATTTGCCTTTCGTACATACTTTTTTACCATTTCGAGTTGTGTGAAATGAGCTGCAGAGACAGAACTTTTATAATAATAATAATGAAGGCGTTTTATCCAGGTAAATGCAATGGAATTAGACCTTCGTTTGATAAGTAACAGTGCCAATGGAAGGTTAACGCGACATACTTCTAGAATGATTGATAATAATCCATTAGAGTGGTGGCGGTGCGCTATTGGGACTAATCCAGGACTATTTTGGAGCCCAAATTTGCCATTTTTAAGAAATTAACATTTCCATATTACTGTTTCATTTGGGTAACCTTCTGACTTTTGTTTGTTGATATACATGCTTCCAGACAGTCTTATCAGTGCTTTTGTCAAAGAGCTATAAGGCTGTCCAGTAGAGCTCCCCTTTTGTCCTGACGATAACGTTAAATGGGTGTTTCAGGCGCTAAAAGTACTGTGGAGGGTTAGCTGAAGTATGGTAGGCTTTCAATTCGACTTTTATTAACCACCCTTTATTATATAGTGGTGAAGCCTTTCAGTTATTTCTAGTACAAAATTCCTCCTAACCGATGTCTATAGAATTTTTTAAACATTAATTTATTTATGTCAAATTGCAGGCATTATGATAGTTATCATTAGCCCTTTAGTTGACTTCGGGCTTCATAGAGGAGAGGAACAACAAAGTGGGAAAAATTCGAGAGGGGGGAACAGAAGAGTGTTTTACAGATGTTAGAGGCAGACAGACACGAATTTGGCGAAAAAGGTGAGGTGAGTACTGTGAAATGATGGAATATGACATACTGATGGGTCATGATAGTTTGAAGTCAGAAGTCAACTGCCGGTTTATAGACATCTGAATGGTAAAATCCTCTCAGTTGATATACTTCTGTGGAAAAGCTCTAGTAGAATATTTGTTCTTTAGTCAACAGGTTAGATTAATTTTTCATCCAATTTTCTCTTGCAGTGAAACCTCAGCCACCTCAGGAAGAGCCCGCAACAAATACCAGTGCCAATGCAACTGAAGGTGCTGCCAACACTATTACCGCATCAGGCAAGACCGAGAACCTAAGCGTTTTTGTCCAGTTAATGGATGACTTTGTGGGTCACTTGGAGGATGACACAGCTATCGTGGAAATCGTTATTCCCGCAGAACAGGTCACTAAAGTTCGCGTCTGGAAGGATTTTCGGACCATGTTTAGCTCCATCCCCAAATACCTCGATGATGTCAAGTAAGTGCTATTTGGTTGATTTATTCAATATACTTCATTGAGTTTAGTTATATCGAAAAATAGGTCTTTATGCCTATTTCGAGGATAAATACAAATTTCACATCCCAGAGGAGCACAGCAATTTATCCAATGGGGGGAAGAACTAGGCCTTCTCTTATTTGATTTTTTGTTTGGGCTAATTTGGGTGGGGCATATTCCGGTATTTAATTGTCTGTATTTGAATGTAAATTCCTCAAGGCAAGAGGGGAAAATTTTACAACTTTTAATCTTTGTTATAGGGATTCAAGCATATAAGAAGAGGCTTTTAGAGATAGTTGGACTGTTAGTCAAAAATCAGGACGTTCCTACTTCACCTGAGCTGGGACCTAGTCAGGTCAACTGTTTTTGGTCTGATTTTTTGTCGTCATATTTCTCGTATGGAAAATCCAGAACACGTGATTTTTGTGTCTCTTTTTCGCTTCATTTTTTGAAGCTCCTGCAAGAGTCGCCTAACTTAACAGCTCATCACACTTATTGGCTTATAATACGATATTTTCTAAGATGTTTTTTTTCACCTTTGCAGCAGTGCAATTAATTCAGTTCTATGCTGATTATGCAACATAAAATGCGAATGATGCTTGGGGTGGGGGGAGGGGGGGGGGGCGTTAGGACTGATATTTTCGCCTTGGAAACATGCTATTGTGTCATATTTCCTGTCTACTTGTATCAGGTGACAGTCATTACTTACGGGTGCCGTGTTTCCCCTGAGATTATATCTCCACTGATCATATGGTAGTGAAAACAGATAAAAAGCAGAATTAAGTCATTTTAACCAATCCCACAAATTGACAAAAAGTGAGTTTGTCTGGATTTCAGGGAAGCCATTACTACTTTTATTGGATAAAGGATCATTTCCTTATTCGTGTGTGTTTCCTCTCTCTACTTTATTTTAGACCGGTTTCAACCATTTGAATTTACAAGAATCTTGACCCTTTAGTAGATAAAAGAAAAGTTGAAGTGACTTCGGATTTCAAGGATTTCTCATTCTTGTCCTCTTTCTGTCTTTTTATGACAACTTTCCTCTAGTTATTTGGGAAAGTTTACATTTGTATGGTAAATGACTCGAATTGATAAAAATCAACGAATAGATTCTTATGCATACCAAATTAACCGCCATTTTCATTACGTTAATTGTTTATTTACCTTCAGAATCTGCCTAACTCTTTCTAGAGTTGGGTGACTAATGTTTTGGAAGAATATAATTGCTTCAATGTCTTTCTTTTAAACGCTGAATGCCATTTACGCTCTGCCTTATTTCTTGGTACATTTTTCGTCGTTTTGACCCTCATAGCACTATAATGCGTCACTTTGAATAATCTTTCACTTGACGTTAGAAGGGTGTTCATTTTGTTTGAAAGTCCTTATTTTGTTTAAACTGGTTATAATTATCTATGCAGAAACAATTACATTCGTAAGTTTGACAACTTTGGGGTTAGAGAATACCATAAAGATTTAACTTTTTCTCCACTTTTAACAGCAACTTCTTCGTCACCTCCTTGTGGTGTGTCCCCATTTCCCACCCCATCTTTGTTACTTTGCTCTCCCACTTTGTTGTATCTCCTTCCGCGGAAAACGAACCCATAACCTTATTAATAAGGCGTTTAAAATTCTATTATTACTGTTATTCCGCATTACTGGAAAATATATTAACAGTTTCTTTCTATTTGTGGGAAAGTCTTACGATCTTCAAGGTGATATTATAGCTAACACGAGCGAAAACGTAAGTGCTCTTTTTTTGTAGCTAAAACTTGGCCATTTTAAACACGAACTATGTTTAGTGTATTGTAAATAGTATAGATTCACATAAACAATTTTAGTGTCAGTCGTTATTTCAGCAAAAATTTGGAATGAAACAGGAAATAGTGATTTTGTGTTTAATTAATTGAAATCGAGCAAGATCAAATCCAACGGATGATAAAGAGGAGAGGAGGATCCAAAAAGAAATAGGGAGCAGCGTCATGCAGCAAATAATTCTCCACGCGATGTTCACTGCTTGTTGATCGGTGTTATTGAGTTGCCTCTGCCAGAGTTTGACGTCGGGAAAAAAGTTAATTATTTTACGCAGTCCCAACAACTCTGCGTCATTTTTTACTCCTTATTCCTCATAAATGGGGTTCAGATAAGTATCTTCGTGTTTGCTCCAAGTAGCAATCCCGACTTGAGATAGTCTAACTCCTTAATTTGTTTTGAAGCTAACGCTGCGATATAAAACATTTAGCTCTTTTTACTTGCATCTTTTTAGTAAATGCGGTTTTTACAGAAGTGTGTGTGTGTGTGTGTGTGTGTGTGTGTGTGTGTGTGTGTGTGTGTGTGTGTGTGTGTGTGTGTGTGTGTGTGTGTGGACTTCTCAAACTGTTCACTCTTGAATGCAAGGCACTTTACCACCCAACCTAATAAACAAAATCTTAATATCGTGGATATTAACCTTTCTCTTAGATCCAGGAATCAGGTCTTGAATATTGAGTTTCGATAAATTTAGATATTACAGGATCAATTGTGTTTCCTACGAGATGTTTCCAGAATTCAATTAAATTGGAAATCTTTAAATTCTGTCTTACTTATATGCTCCTTATTGTCTCCAATTTATGGGCATTTTTCCACTAATTGGGTGATGTTCAGCACTTGAGTGCGTTATTTTTTAATCAACTAACCCTAAACCTCCCCTCACTTACTTTCCTGAGGTCGACAATTTCACCAAAAATACGATTACATTTACAGTACAACTGGTCTCTTACAAGTTTCTCCATTCGCCTACCCTTAATAGAGTATTTATGTCTGCCACACGGTGGTGTGAATGGTCATACTTTGCACTAAGGTCAAAGTAATGGTTCCATTGCGTTTTCATAATCATTGCCAAAAAGTTAGCGTTACAATTAAAGGACAATACATAAGTTATCAATTCGTCAATCAATTTAAATGCTGTTTTCCAATAAAGTGAATTGTATGACACTTATAGATTCTTCTCTTGTGGGGCTATTTCTTAAGGAATTCCCGTCCAAAGGTTGTTTCCATACTCCAAATGCAGACTAATATTCGAAAGTTCATTTTCCGCAACCTTTTGAATAGTATTTTTACACACTTTTTTCAATGTTAACTAGATCCACTTTGAAGAAGCAATATTGTGAATCCAACTTCTTGAATTGGGTTATCGGTAGTATGTTTTTCTTCTCGCATCATTTTTTGGTTCCTATTCGTCATACAAATTGCCTGAGTGATAGTAGAGGCATTGAAATCAGACCGCTCCACTAATTAACGTTTATATTCCTGTTTTTTCACGCGTTATTGTACCAATTTGAATCTGATATACCATTCAATGTGGTGGTACTGAAGTTATTACGATATGTACATGCCGTTCGCCAATTAAAACGCTCAATTTTGGCGTAGAAACGAATTTGTCAATATGGTTTTGGCTACTCACGAAATTCGCTTTATGTTGTTCACGCTGTTATTGATTATGTTTCCTGATAAACGCCCATTTAGCAAAAAACTTAAATAATTTTTGCCATACTGCTAATTTCTCGGTAAATCATCCTTCATGTAAATCAATTTGTGCATTCCAGTTGTTATAGTGGGAATAGATTCCCGAGGGAAAAAGTTAAATGCCAAATTTTTTGCTGCAGTCATCATGACCCATTTGATATGTGGAAATATGCCGGATCTTTGATTTGGCTTTTTAAATATATATATTCGCTCTCTTTTCTGTCATTTATCATATGAAATCAACATCACTCAATTGATCTCGATAATAAGTTTACTTCTAGTTATTGCACTTAAATATTTGTACCGGCAATTTCCGAATTCGTATCGAATTTAGGCAATCTGGATGTGAGCTTTCTCGGCAACCCGATGATTTGGAACTGAATAAGTCTAGAAAGAGCAAGTATTTATCCATCCTTGCTCTTGTATATTAGCATCACTTCCTATACTTGTGATGTGAACTTCATACTCTGCTACATCAGTCCAGTTAAACATTCATTCAACTGGACATATCGGTGTCAGACCTGTGGTCTTTCATATCTGTCAGTTATGCACTCCGCCACATCACTCAACTCAGCGTTATCGATTAATTTAATCTTCCAATATGATTGAATCTAGTACTTGCAATCTTTTCATGTAGACTTGCATAACTTTTGGAGTAATGAGTTTTTCACAGCAACTACTACGCTGGATCTGGGTTTTCAATTTGAAGTCTTTTAAATCAGGTCTATTAACCTATCTTATAATTCATAATTTCCAAGCCTTTTGTAACACTTAATGAGCAGTGTCTTGTTTCAATTATCGAATTATGAGTTGAAATCTTTTTTCAATATGCCAATTAATAATGCTTACGCAAACATATTCCATCCTTTGCAAGCACTTTAGAGGAGTTTTAACTTCTTACTGCCTGAAAGAGTGGCCATGAAAGTAAACAAGTCGCATTAATGTTAGTGACTGGGTTTTGGGAGTATTATTGCACGTGGGTCGTCGAATCACTGAACTGCTTTCCATTCTTTGTTGTACTCGTTTGTTAGCCTTTCCCTTATCAAGTGGTTGAAAACACTGACTCTTGACCTTAACCTCCCCTTCCCCTCCCTATTTTCTCTATTAGTTTCGATTAGCTTGGAGCATTCCTTCAATGAATTTACACAATTCAATTAAGTGGTATAAATTATTGACCTATTCATTTATCCGATGTGTTCAGTTCCCTGCTCTTTAAATCTACTTTAGAGTTCCTTGCAGAAGATCATTTCATTCAACTGAAACGTTGGCTAAAAACGTTCTTGTTGAAAACGAATGCTATTTATGATAACTTTTTTCTCACTATTTCTAATAAGAAAGTTTAGTGATTGATGGGTTCAATATGAAACTGAATTGATGAACCTGATTCAGCGCTCTCTTCATGTCGTCTTTATGAAGTTTTGATTTCAAAAATTTTTATTTTTCTGAAAGCCTCTTCCTTGCATTGTCTTTATTATATGAGATATTCATTGGCGCGAATTGTCCTGTAGATTCCCTAGTATCTTCGAACCTCTTAGGAAACCGGAAATTAGTTATCCGCTCTTTATATGAACTCCAAGTGCATTAGCATATGAAGTATCACCTTTGTACTCTGTGCCTAGTAGCTATGTATCCGCGGTTCACTACCAATTGGACTCCAAGCGCCCTCCTTTCTCCTCACTTTTTCTTTAAATTATATTTCTCCAGTTGATAACGTGTGGAACGTTTATGCATAGAGGGCTATTTCATCACCCAGGGCCTGCTCCTCCTCATTTTCCCTGTTCGTCTTTTGTGGTATCTGGAGGTGTCTATTTTAGTTCACATCGTTACGACCTTGACTTTCGTTTATTTTATCTCCTCTGTGTTCTAAGTTCGTGATTTATATGACCTTAGCTATTTCACTTGCAAGATGTGGCATTTGCCTGTTACATGGAAAGAAAATTTTCTCCTAATTGGCCAAATGCCACTTCTAATCACAGGGAGCAGAAGCCCCAACTTCTGTTGCATCACCCTCCAGTGCTCCAAATTCTAGGCTTCATTATCTAGTGTTAATTTCACAAGTTATTGAATTGCGTGTTTGTTTATTCTATATCTCTGCCTTTTTTGCCTTTCATTAACGAACTAAATAAGGTCTCTTTCAATGATATTTGCTGATCCTTTTATTAGTATTTTTCTAGATATTACATTTTTTATTGCATTAAGGTTGAATGAATGACATGCACGCGAGGATTTTTTTCAAAGGAAAAAGGAAGTGTCACTTAATTAAATCTAGGGAATTTCATAAAAATCACTTCTCAACCAAATCGTGGTTCTTTGTTGTTTTGGCCAGAACTCAGCGTCAAATTTGATCATAAGTAATGTAAATTGTGCGTTTATTTATTGTTTTTTCTTTGTACGCATATAAGTTTAATCGGATTAAAATTTACACTGCAGGTGCTAGAACTTGTGATATTTTGTCAGCTTTAGAGATTTTGTGATTTATGTCTTTATTCCACTTGATTCCATCAAAAAGGCTCTCTAAAAACCTCTTCATCTCCATCGACCCCTCCCCCCTTCTTTCCTCTTCAAATGCAGTTGGAAATCATTTGCACCATCACTACTCTTAGTCACCTGGTCTCTTTCGGCATGTATTACTTGAAGTGTGACTACTGAAGTCAGCTAAATGATTTTCGCCCATTTTCGAAGTCAAGCAAGTCATCTATGCCAAAAATATTTATATCAAATGGCATATTTTATGATAGTTATCATTAGCCCTTCAGTTGACTTAGGGCTTCACAGAAAGGAAGAGGAACATCAAAGTCACAGAAAGTGGAGTGAAGGGAGGAAAGAGAAGGGTGATTCACAGATGTAAACGAGGCAGACGAAAAAAGGCAAGGTGAGTCTATGGAAGTGGTGGAATATGGCATACAGTCGGGTCATGCTAGTTTAAAGCCAACTGCTGGTTTATAGACTTTTTTCCGTAAGAGTACACATTTGCCCTGGGTGCACCATTTGGCAATAAGTCAATCGCGCATCCCTCGCCAAATACTATGCTGTGCTCGAATTCCTTATAATTGGGAGGCCGGTTGGGTCGGCAGAAATAGAGACCATCAGAAAGAAGTATAGACTCCCATATGCAATTATTTTCTATCTTGCTTCGTGAAACCGTTTTCCATTTTGAAGCTGATTTGACAATAGCTTTTGACCTCACCTATCAAAATAAAGAACAAATTTTCACTTTAAATGCATTTTTTCTGCACTTCATCAAAAGTAAAAACTAAACTGTTTCGTTTATGTATGTAATACCATACGTTTCAAAGTTGAAATTGGTGAGTAGAGAAGTACTGCTTGAAAAGTGCTTTTGATCATGTCGGCAGTTTCCAAAATACAAATTTGTAATTGAGATGAGTCGTGATTTGATGGAAGTTTTTTGACATAAAAGTTTATTTGTATCAAATGGTAGGCGTTTTGATAGTTATCATTTAGCCTTTTAGTTGACTTCGGGCTTCACAGAGGGAAAGAGGAACATCAAAGTGAGAAGAATTCGAGAGGGGGGGGGGATAGAAGAGTGATTCACCGTTACAAAAGAGTCGGACAGACGCAAAGGCAGAGAAAAGTGAAGTTTGGAGCTGTGGAAGTGATCGAAAATGACATACAGTGGGGTTATGGTAGTTTGAGGTCAGAAGTCAACTGCCGGTTAATAGACTTTTTTGGCGTATGAGTATACTTTGCCCAGGGTGCACCACGTGGAGGTAAGTCTATTGCACACCCCTTTGACATAAAAGTAAAAACTTGATTAATGTAATATGAGGAAAGAGGGTAACGAGTGATACGTTACAACAACTACTTTTGGCGAACAGATAGCAATTGTTAATCATTGTGGCTGTTGAATTAACTTCTCTCCCTAATTGCACTAACTCTCTCGATACACCTTGTCTTCTGTTTTCAACCTATCTTCATGCAATCGCTGGTATTATGAAGCGAACAATTGTACAACCACCGCTATCAATTCCTTCATGTATTTGTGTATGCCATTGCCAATATATGTGGCTGGACAGCGATTGTTTCGAATTGGGGAAAGAAATCACAATCTACACTGCCAGTTCCGACTCGCAGTTTCGTCATTCACGATTTGGAGGAGAACTCATTCAGTAGGCTTTAGAATCCAGTTCCATCCGAAGCTGTTCTTCTCTTAGAGATTTTAACACTTGACTATTGCATACGTTTTAATGAAGTTGATGGAAATCAGATCAAACGAATGAGTTTTAAACAATTTTTCGACAAATATTGCCGTATTCTAATGATTGAATGATAAAAATTTATATTTTTGGAACTATACTGTTACAGTGAATAATAGAAGATTCAACAGATGCCTTACTGCCGTTTTTTTGGTTTTGTTTTGGATTCATATCCTTATCACGAACTTCATGCAAGACAGAACACGGTCACCTTCTAATTTAAACAAAAAGCGAAAAACCTTCAAGTTCTTATGGTGATTTTAGCGTTACCTATAGGGATTTTTTTCATTCGTTTAGTATAGCTAAGGTTCTATTTGATAAGTTACTACCATTTTAAAATTCTTGACATTCGTTACGAACAACTTGAACGAGGCCCATTCTACACCCGTTTCATTGATTCACAATTACACTATGGTGATTGGTTGGCTTACTATCAACAGCATATATATTTCGTACAATTCGAATGATCGGTCGCCTGGCTTCGAAACAGGCCGCCAATAAAAAATGAGGGTATAGTTTGTTCTTTTATGAAAAGAGTATGCTCACAGAACTTTTCTGATCGTTCTAGTAGTCTCCTGATTTCTGGAATGGATGTTATAAATCAGTATCTAAAATATATCCCTATTTATACTCAATAGAAGTGGTTTCTATCCCTTTCTGGGATATCGTTTCGGTGGATCAGCCGCAGATCAAGAGGAGGAAGATGAGGTTCCAGTTAATGCTATCGTAATCGATAATGCCACCGGACAACCTCATATCACCACAGTCTCCTCCGCGGCTTCCACCAGCACCTCACGAAAGCACTCTAACAGCGTCCTCTCCAATATCGACACTCCTCCAAATCGCCATCTTTCTACCACCATTCATGAAATTCCCGATCCCCATCAAGTTATCCCTGTGTCTGTCAATCAGCTGAATGATCTCGCGATTACTACTGCCTGTGCGGCAGCAGCTGCTACCGTTAATTCCCTCGTCAATTCCTTTCAATTGAAACCCGCGTCTAGATTTCCTTTCATGGCTACTACTAAACTCATCCCCACGTCTTCTAACAACCTCCAAGCTAACTCTATGGATGGTGATAGTGAAATGAGACGCAGGTCGCTACCTAACTCCTTCAATGACTGTGTCATCTCTACAAATCAGTTGAAGGACTGCGTGAAGAGTATGCTGAATGGGGTAGTGACAACTTCCAGAGATACGGGTTCCACGATGGGGATTTGTGCTGCAAATAATAAACCTTGTGAACTGACCAAGGTGTCCTACCCTGTGATGCAACAGACTGCCACTAATGCCAGGGAGAAAAGAGTACGACAGCAATCCGCTTGTCTCCATCCTCCTGACAAGGACTTTTCGGGTACGTCTTTTATAAATTTGACGTGTTTTTAATTAGGGAGCTTGTTTGTGAAGAAATGTGCCATGTTATTTCAGATTTTGATAGTGTTGAGATCTTTGAAATGTGTTAACACCCTTAACACATACGTTTTATTTTGAGTTTCCTTATTCATTAAATCCAGGTTATCCCTATACCCCAAAAGTATGCAGTTGCGTTCTCTTTTAGGCAGATTTGTCTTGACAAAGCAGTTGATTCGTATGTTATTTTACTTTTTTTCATTTAGCCAAGAAAATTTGGCAAACACAACTTCGTAGAGAGAGCGGTATCCCAAAGTCTCTTCTTTGAGAAAACCGCATTCTCTTTCCCTTCCTATTGATGAGATCAAACCACGGTGATGGATCGCTTACACTACTGGTTGTGCCCCTATGGGAATCGATCGAGTGGCCTGACTTAGTAGAAATACATATTGACCGATTCCCAGCTATACTATCAGTATGACCTATTGTTGTTTTTGAGGTACCGCATTCTGCTACACAGTTCCAGCTTTGTAGTTCCCTTCTAATGTCTTTGAAAGTTTATTAGGGTTTGAAGCTTTCATTCACTAGACGTCTGGACTCATTGTCGTTTACGGAGTAGTAATTAAATTCACCGCTGCTTAAATATTCCCGCATTCAATGCAAAAATGGGGAGAATAGATTTGGCAGTTTGATACAGTGGTGACTTTTTCAACAGGCAACAGTAAAAGAGGCTAAGCGAGAAATGTCTGTTCTTGTTTTTTGTTTGTTAAATGTGTTCTTGCATTTCTACATAGAAGTATTAATTAATTTATCAGTGTAGGACATTTTGGTCTCGGCCACTGGAAATTGCTGAAACAGAGGCCACATTCCAATCAGTGACTCAAGAGTCCCTGTTTAAGTGATTTTTTTCATACTGCTTGAATATACTGAGACCATTCGGCATTTGGTGTTTCGTTCACTTTGTCAATAAACTATCAAAAAGTGGACCCAGGAGTACCTTAATTTACTATAGAAAATTTTACTTCCCTTTATTCCCGTCCTTATCCTTCCCATTATGTTTGGGTGTTCAATACACTTGAAAGATGCTCTTTGCAACTGACAATCAACAGCTAATCTTCCAAATGTGGACGTCAATTGATTGGTCGATCTATTTAATTGCACACTTCCATTAATATAGATGGCCCAACGTAATAATTCTCGTCAATGGGGGTTCATACAATGCCCTTTTATTATTGCATTAGATTATTTCTCTTCCCCATTTACTCTCCACCCAAATCTGATGTTTCTAACACTCCGTAATCTCCTTGGAAGGTTTTGTTTTTCCAAACTAACCCCTTATCTTCTACCAGTGATTTTTATCTTAGTAGGAGGACCTATTGCAGCGTAGACGATTTTTATTTTCTTAAATGCGTTTGTCTATCCATAGTACGATTTATTGATTAGAATGTTAGCAATCTGTTTGGTCTATCAGGAAGATACTTTCATAAACACAGTGTATTCAATCTCATTCATGAACCTGGGAGTCAGATGATGAAATTTGATCTTTACAAAGTCACAGTGTGAATTCGGCCCCTTTTGAAGATATTGATAACTCAGTTCTCCCGATTTCAACTAAAGGCGACTGTGTGATGTGCCATAGCGACATTATCCTCTTTTATGACCCCCCCCCTCTCACCCATCACACACTTTAAGGGACTTGTGTGTTATCCTCTCAGCCCCTGGCTTTTTGTGATTAAGACCACTTACTTTGGACGCTGTCTTTTTTCATTAACTACGATGAGTCATTTGCCAATCCGGAGAACTGCGTACTCTTGCGTTATGCTATGCCTTGTTGCGTTTTATCATTCAGTAGGTGACCGAATTCGCATCTGCCGAGTTTTATTTACTTATGCATAATCCTCGTGTTTGAATACCGATGTTACTTTGAAAAGACCCATGAGTTTGGATTTTGTGCCGTATGGCTTTAAATCCCCATTTCCTTGGTGTGAACTTTCTATTTTTATCACAGAAATATTTCACTATGTTTTTATTCTTTAGGAATCGCTGCCGTTCCCAAGCTGCCCACGTTTCAAGTAAGTCTCCCACCTCATTTAGTGGTTAAATTGCAGTATCTTTCTCTTAACAAGTCATTAATTTGAATGCCAATTTAAACTTGTTCATATGTAAAGAGTTGACGCAAACAGTAACAGTTTAGTGTTCGATAATGCAGAGAACAACTCGAAGTTATTGCAGAACAGCGATGAATATGGTTCTGGAATAACTGCGAAAGGAATCCGTCATATACGAGTGAATTACAACGGAGACTGTTAGGTTGATGTGATTAGAAGGAAGTAACCTGACAGACAATCTGATCTCACAATCGGATTTCCTCGAAATTCGGGCTTTTTCGCCACGTTTACTTGAATGCTTTAGCATCTTCCATAAATCCTGTACTCATCTTAGGGTTTCACTACGACGGGCCTACGTACGCTTTATAGAGGTCAATTTTCCTCAGTAAAGGGTTACGAAAATATCCAGAAAGTGATGAAGAAACCTCTGAACGAGGTGCAACGTCGCGTTGCTGCACAAACTGCTTGATTCGTTTCCGATGAAAAAATATGCGTAGCGCGTCGATTAAGCGATACAGTCCAAAGTACACTCCTCAAGTCGTGGACGCTGAAGTTGCTCCCACTGGCGATTTTTTTGCCATTGCATTTTTAAAGACGACCTTAATCTAAAGTTTGATGTTTGCTTGAGATTTCCTGTTCACTGTAGTTAGGACTTGGATAACTCGAATTGTCACTAATAGGTTGCGTTTTAAGTAACAGAATTCGTCCCTTTGTCACGCCGCAGGGAAGTGGATTGGGGCTGTAACAGACGGTGATTTTGGCTACTTTTGTAAGACACTTTGAAAACGTTGTGCTTTGAGGCTTTTATAGCCTCTTTTTCGTTCTTTTGGTGAGACAGTCAAATTTACCTTGGCCAACCGGTATCGGCTTTGCTCATTTGACTTTAACTGTTAATTGTTTACTTGTCTGTCGCAATACGTCGCATCTTCTTGCATATATTTCTTCCAATATATTCAATTTGGAGGAGTAGACTCCTTTGTTAGAAGGTAGGTACAATGTTATAGCCTACGACCAATCTCCTTACACGGCCTGAGAGGATTTCCAAAATCACAAGTTCGGCTTTCGCGAGGAATTAGGTTAGGTAAGCTGGGACGTGGCTTGGAAGTCGAATTGTAGTAACTGGCGTAAAGTCTACTTTTTCGCATCCTGTGAATAATTCGTAATACAAATTTATTATGTGACTTTTAGGACAGGTTAGGAGTCAGTAAGTACGTTTTCGTGTTGGCAAGATGTTAGTGCTCTATTCGCTATCTCTCTAGTCTTCGTAGAACTCACAAGCTCTGTTGAGTCTATTTAGCCCTCCTTCTTTAATTCGCAATGTATCCCAATTTATGTCTTACTTATTTTATTATTCTTTTCTACTCATTTTCTCTTAAGAATTTTTAGAAGAATTCTGTCGACTGTACGCCTAAGTTGCCATATTCACTCATTCTAGTCGTGATGTTTATTTATCAATACAACATCTGTGACAAGGCTATGAACTTATCAATCCCTTGAGACTGCATAATTGGAATCGGCCTTCGAATAAATATTTGATTTTTGCTTGTTTGAATACTTTTATTAACTTGCACAGTAGTGGTCTGCAATTGCTTTAACTTTTCCCGAAACCCAATTGATCTTTAAGCCAAATGGAGTATTTTGAACTACGTGCTAAGGCTTCACAATTGGTTGCCGCTATGCCCGCCAACTGAATGGAGGTTTCAAGGCAAATAATATTAATGCTCAAAGTATTATTATTTGCTTTGAGACATTGATAATCTCGCTGCTTAGTCTCTTATTAGTAAGCCAAGTGGACCGCTATTATTGGCCTGGTGGTACATGTAATGAAAGCGTTAATGCAATATATTGACAGACTTTGTTTTAAGGCATATCAATAGTGACCTGAATGTCTCCTTTCTTCTCTCAGGGCCGTATTATCCGTGCTTCACCATCACAGAATGTGCCACACACTCCCCATGCCAGTATAGTTTCCACATTGACTCAGGGTGCAGCCATCTCCTTGGCCTCTGCGATCGGCAATATCGCCACCGCAGTGGTAGCCACCAACAGTACTGCCGACCACATTGCCGAATACGATGACCTGTCAGATGCTGAGCTTTCAACAGACGACGGACAAAACGATTCGGATACAGACGATTATGAGAATGAGGATGACGATGGAAAGGGGGCTGGGGGAGGCGAGAGGTGTTTTGTTGGAGTCCCACAGGTTGTCCATGTGGCTCCTCCCACGCAGGCACCCACAACGCCCGCTCTCTTCACCCACTGTCAATACGCTTACATTGGAACAGGCCGGTGGCAAGTCTACGTGCAAATGTGGTTCGTTGAAGAAAGGCTTAAACGAGAAGTGCGTTACTACTACTAGTACTATACTTTTACATTTCTGCTTAGTCAGTTTGAGGTCCTATGGTTGCTAAATAACTAAGCAGCCATACCTAACGATGGATAGAGTATGTAATTTTACTTAAAAGTAATTGGTGGAATTGCTGGGAAGTGTCGACTTTATGACATAAATAACATGCCATCAGTGACACTGATAATGAGTGATCACTGAGAAATGGAGAGACGCAGTAAGTCATGAAATGAAATTGCAAATTAATATTTCACAAGTGATACCTTTCTTGCATAAATTATTTCACCACAAAAAGCCACGATCCAAGACTAATTTCCTTCTAATGTATTCAGATTCTTCCTTTTTGACCATGGTAGCAATACGTATGGTCATACCTTTCATTAGAAACGGAAACCCTCTCTCTGTCACCTGACCATTGCGTGATTAATGTGTGAAAGGACCTGTATTCAGCAATTTGTCATCTAATAGCATTAATTGCTATCTTTCTTAATTTATACGCATGAAAAATGGATAAATTTTCTTCTTATTTTCTATTTGCGTACATTTAGCGTCTTCGAACTTAAAATAGGCTTCTTCAAGAGTAAGTTCGAAAGTTGAATTTATGAAATCGAGCTTTTTTGCTTATAAAATGTGCCAGGAGGGCACTTGGGATTCGGCCAACACAACCTTAAAGATGATCTGCCAATGGGCAGACGCCTTGGTCCAGTAGATAGTTATTTTATGGTCTAAGTGGGGAAGAGTAGCTACGAAATAGTTTGAAGACTTGTAACCCAGATTTTCTCTCTGCAAGGTGAGACAATGAAAACGAAGGATAGGTCTGGATGGGCTCTAACTTCCTCAAATGAAATTGGATTCTCCTGATTTCCTTTTAACTTTGAGCACACTTCATTTTCGAGAACTTTAATTCCTATGGCCGTGATCAGAACGAACTGATCTCTCTTCTTATGTGTCCTTATTCGACCTAATGATCTTACCTTAGTGCTTTCTTATGTACAGCAGCCTCACTAGACGTTTTCGTGTAAACTTCATAGTTAAAACTTTCTCTAAAATATTATTGCTTCAAGACCTACTTTACTAAGATCTGGTGACTCAATATCCACTCACTGATAGTTTGTAAAACTTCTTGCACTGATATTTAAAATCTGTCGACAAATTTCGGATTTTTTGTTGCATTGAGAAGTCAAATTTTGTAGTTCATGCTTATTAGCTCATAAAAGCTTTATGAAATTGGCATTGAGCCAAGTTGGGTTGAATCGAATAATAATTCCCAAGGTACTACACTTGAATATACTTTATTTAGAATTCCACTTTATTTCCATTTCAGGCATACCTTCAAGTGCTGGAAAATGAGTGGCACGACTACGATAGGATTGCGGATCTCTTCGAGGGCTCCAAGTGCTTGAGCAGCAACGACCGAATCATCCTTGTTCGACTCCTTGCAATGGCAAGACACAATATTCCTCTGATTGAGGGAGAGCTGCTTTTCCCTTGGTACGCTGCATATTTCATTCCCCTATTTCAAACTTCCATCCAAGTGTCAACTTTTGCTTGCCTTTTGATCATTCCGCTTTATCTCTCCCACCTGCTGTCTTGCCATGTTAATATGTAAGCTCTTCCTTCTCCTCTTATGTGTAGCTTTTCGACAGAGGGCAATGGAGGCATCTATGCACAGGAGCTCTACTCCAAATTGGTGACTCTACACTTCCATCAACAGGCTCAGCAACTCATGGCTCATGCTTGTCAGCAGTTGGATGCCCATGGTGCCATTCCCTCCACAACACGCGGTGGCATTGAGGTAGCGCATTGATCTATGCTCTCGCTTGTCTTAAAATCCCGTTTTAGTCTTTTTTTAAGTACATTTTCACCAAGTACTTTCAATTCTCCTTGAGTCAGTATCGACCACAATGAACAAGTTCAACATTAATAGCATATATGCAAATGTTTCCTATAACTGTCGGAAAAACGACGTCTCTCCTATTAACATCTTAGTCCCCTCTTTAGTTGACTTTTTAAGTTAGCCACGTAAAACTTGCCATTCCTCGGTGTGAATATTATGCAAATTACACATACGACGACGTGGGGGGGGGGGGGGGGGGACAGAAGAGTGATTCACCGATGTAAAAGAGACAAACACAAGGGTAGAGAAAATGGTAAGGTGAGTACTGTGGTGGTGTTCGAGTATGACATACAGTCGGGTCATGGCAATTTGATGTCAACTGCCGGTGCGTAGACTTTTTTGCCATATGAGTATACGTTGCCCAGAGTGCACCACGAGGAGGTAAGAATATGCCATATCTTCAATATTGATTCACCTGGTGCAGTTTTTTTTTCAAGTTGACATATGCCCTTTCGTTTCGATTTCCCAGCTGTCAGGATTTTTAATTGTTGTATAGTGGGTAGAATTTCACGTACATTCGGGACATTTTATCCCTGAACTAATCTTTTGGTGTTAGTTTAGTCTAAAAAAAGAAATGTGAATTTGTGAGTAATTTCCTCCAAATTTGTATATATTGTTGCATGTGGATTGATCAATTCCCCGGTGCTTTCTGCTCTTGCTGGTGTTCAGAAGAGCGAGATTTGTGCTGATACTGCAAATAATCATAGACTAGTTCACATATTGTACTCTGTGAGTCATAGAGTTAAATATTAATTCTCAATCTTATTAAATTCTGTAGTGTTATTAGTAGTTCAAGCTCTATCTGCAACTTTAAAATTTTTAATTTTCGAATCCTCCCAAGTGTTTTTATTTGATTTTGCATGACCTAAGCTCATCTTGAATCTATGGGAACTGCAATGGAGCTACTGGTCTATTTATTTTAATCACTATAAATGAACGAACCTGGCGGCTTCAGTAATCTTTTACCACCTTGATTGAATTTTAGTTCTCACTGTCATCCACAATCATTCAAGGTCTCTCTTCCACTCTGCTGTATCTTGGCCATGGATCTTTATTACACATAGCCGACCGCTGGATCACTCATTGTGGACATATAAACAATCACGTAATCAATTGTGGCAATTTCAAGATTGTTAGACCAGGTTCATGATGTTTTATTCTGAGTCCCCTATTAAATGCTTTAAAGATTTCTTCTGGTTCTCGTGTCTCGCTGTAATTGCATGCTTTCTGCTGTGCAGCGAAGGGAAATTCTAGCTTTACAATGTTCATAGCCAACACTATCTCTGTTGTGCATGGGCGTTTTTGAATTTCGACGCTTTCAGAGATTAATTACCAATTTTTAATACAAGCGTTTCCAAAGGAAATTGCAAATTTCCAGTCTACCTTTAGAGTACATACATTTACTTGAAGGTGTTTGATTATTATTATTAAAATCCAAGTGCTGAAAGGGATGGTTCATCGAAAAGGACATATTAAATCCTTCAGTTTACCTCCTGATTAAAAGAAAACATTTAAGTAGAAGCAAATTATAATGTAATCTCATTCTATCTTTTGTATTTTAGCCACCCTTAACTTCACACCATCTTCCTTCTTCCGTTGCTACCAACGGCTTGACTTCCCTGGGGCAGTCGACAGTATATACTTCAACGGGTCCCTCTCTCCCTATGACCTTGGATGCAGCTGCGGTGCCAACTCTGCTTCCTTCTGGTGCTATGACAGCAGCTTCCGACGCCTGCCTCACCTCCTTCTCACCCTCCTGCCTTGCACCCGATTCTCGCCCACATGAACTTGAAGGTAAGTGTTTCAACCTCCAAGTTTCATTAATAATTCCAATATGCGAATTGGGCAGTAGGACGCTTTTTCTCAAAGTTTGAATTTCAATATTTGTTTCTGAGTTTCTTATTCATAAGAATATGAAATTCTAGTTCCAAGTCTACCTTGGTGCACTTAAACTAAATGTTGAAATATTGATGTGCTTCAATTAGACATGGGATTATATAAATTTATGAATCACAGCGTTGTTCATCTAGGATCGTGCGCAGAAATGGCTAGTGCTGATTTCTCCGGAACCTACAGTTTAACGCTATTAAAGAAAGGAGAGCAGAATGTTCCACAATAGTGTCCCTCATCCCATAATCCGGAATGTCTCTCTTATATCAGGCTTGTGGCTTGCTTTGAAAATTATCTGTGGATTTTGAGTATTTTGTTAAGGAAGTAGATAGCACGAAAATCCGGCAGCCTAGAATCAGTTGATTTTCACTATCATTTGCATGCATCTAATGGTGGTTGTGAAAGCATTGGAATGAGTCGTGATGAAAATTAAATTTTCAACGCAATATTGGAGCTAAGTCCTTATCATTTATTTATTTATTTATTTATTCCAAATGGCAGGCGTTTTGATAGCTATCATTAGCCCTTTAGCTGACTTCAGGCTTCACAGAGGGAAGGTTCATCAAAGTGGAAGAAAGTCGAGAGAAGGAGGGGTACAGAAGAGCGATTCACAGATGTAAAAAAGGCAGACAGACACAAAGGTAGAGAAAAAGGTAAGATATGTACTGTGAAAGGGGTCGAATATGGCAAGCAGTCGGCCATGGTAGTTTGAAGTCAGAGGTCAACTGCCGGTTAATAGACTTTTTTGCCGTATGAGTATACGTTGCCCAGGGTGCACCACGTGGAGGTAAGTCTATTGCACACCCTAGATGGTGTTAACTACTCTCGGTCAATTACGTTTCTATGTGGTCCTAGCTTCTATAGTCTTGCATATCGATATGGAATGGCTACTGACACTGACATGTTGCCATCTGGATAATGTTTTTTGTTGCTTATTGCCTCAGCGGTTTCCAGTCATGGGCCATTTTTAAGTGGCTCGTTTGCTGCTGATAACTAAAGCTTATTCCTAAAATAGTGCTTTCGTGTAATACGAGAGGAGGCAAAAGTAGTCTGCGCACAATATCAAATTGATGCTAATTGTACCTCACCGTGATTATTTCATTACTGCCATCTTGCGGTTGCTTCTAAGAACTTTAAAAATAAGTCAATTTCCTGTGGCCTGGGAAGGACATAAAGCCAGGAATTCCTCGGAGTATTTCCGTCCTATCACGCTCTAAGCTTATTCTGACGTAATCAAGATCGCTTTTAAAGTTCGTTTCATGAGTCTTCTTATGCGTTTTATTTATATTTTTGTGAAAGACGCTTGAATTCGCCTTTTTTTGCACTTTCACGCACTGAAGGGCGTGGTTCCAATGCTGATTTCTATGAAATTATCGATAGAGGTCGTTGTGAATCCCCACCCCATTCATAGTTGCAAATATATTTGATATATTTGGACTCTGGTGATGATGATGATGATGATTGATTGATTATCGTTCATTTACGTAGTGCGCTCTTTTTAACAGTCCAATGTGTTGCTATAAATGAAACGATTTTCACGCAGTTTAGCAGAATAAGCCTACTGATAATATTTATTGGACTTAAGTAACATGTGGCCCTTAATTAACTTCTTAGTCTAACTATCAAGCATAAGCTAGGCCTCACTAAGTTAATTCTGAACCGCTCCGATAATATTGATGAGTATCTATTCATCCCCAGATTGGTCTTCTAACTGCTCTTTATAGAAAAAGATCGATGACTACTGGAAACAATTTTCCTAAGCCCTCTGATTGTAAGTACGCATTTGCGTGATTTGTGGGATCTTCCTATGGATAAATGACTTTTGTATTACTTTTTAGAAATGGGTATAGTGATTTACTCAATTTCTTATATAATAGCTCAAGTGTGCAAACTGATTTTGTTCTATTTACATATTTGCTTCTCATAAGGGAGAACAGTTAATTTAGTACGATCGGTTTTTAAAGCCTAATTTGCTGACATCTTATTGGGAGATTGGGGAGGTGATGAACTGATCTTCAGTAGCATTCATTGTATTTCTCTCTTCGTAGAAATGGGAGGATTTGGAATAGGTGAAATCGGCATCGATTGGAGTTCACAAATCGTGCTTTTTGCATCTGTTTGATTCGCTCTCACTGCTATCAAATGCACTTGACCTGAAACTATGCTCTTATGAGTCATTCGAACACGCCAACCCTGCGTGGGCTTTTTTAAGTTGTTTCATTGAATCACTTTGATGAAAAACAACAAACAGATGGAGTTTGTACTGAATATAATTTCAAATACGACTTATAGTGGTCTTCTTTAATCTTACGGCATTCTTGACCTGTGGTTTATGAGTAAGATTGGGCTGTTATAACACGAGACAATGGCAAACGGCCAAATCTGGACATGTACAAAACTTTGTCTGTGTTTAATCATCTTTCTAGCGAATTTTCCACTGAGCCAGGCTTTACGATATTTGTTTCCGTCCAGTATGTTCCCGGAATCGCAACTTGGTTCTATTAGTTAGGATGGGGAAGGGTGTGTATGTTTATGAAAATGCATGACAATACATGCCATCAAATTTAAAATGAAAGAAACAGCGTACAAATCTATGTAGTTTATCCCAAGTGACTATTTTCTGAATGATCAGCGTTAAGTTCCATATTTTAAACTCTCCTTCCCCTTCCTATCGTCTAATTTCATCTACTTAATGGAGCAGAGTTGAACATTCTCAATGCTCTTCATAGAATTCTTACCTTTGATATTGTTTTTTTTACAATTTTCTGCTGCTGGGACCTCGTTGTCTTTTTACTAATTTGTTGTCTACCATACCTTTCTGTCATACTCAACTCATGAATCAACTAATTAACGCAATTATTTCGGCTACAAGTCTTCTTTATTTAGTCCCGAGGAGCTGAAGCAGCTGGTTATTTCAATGGGTGAGGTTGTTTATATTAATGACGACATAGCTTTGGAAAATTTTTGAATATTGACAGGTTGTATGGATTGTGCAATCAGGATTTAAATATTTTCTAAGTGTATTAGCTCTTTTATATGCTTTGTGTTTTGTAACAGCCATATACTGGGTGTTTGGTGTATACTTATTTACTGTTCCTTTTTTTAGATCTCATTAACACACAGATGATTCAGATGAATGGAGATCCTTCATCAAACATTGTAATGCCTCCTCAGGCCTCATCCTCAGTGGCACCCCCATCCACCACGACATGTGCAGACATTCCCACAGGTATGATGCCTACCTACGGATCCAGCGTCGCGTCACCCCCCATGCAGACGGTTGTACCCACCAATCCCCTCAAGTCCACAACGGCAACCAACGCTACTAATAGTGTGAGTCTCGCTAGTGAACGCAGTGCCTCTGTGAGTATAACAGGTGGCAATGTGGGAGCAAGCTCTGTGGAAATGCTGGATGTCGGTTGTCTGGCCCCTGAGAACGCCACGTGTGCCCTTTGTGATCGACACGACTATCTCCACCGAACCGATCTTCCCAACTACCTCACTTCTCCCTGCTACCATTGCAGAGAGAGCTTCGCCAGAGAGGCCAAAATATCCCCCGAAGATCTCTTTGACCTTCACTTGCAGGTGCGTTATCTCGCTTTCTTCTCTCCTTCAGTAAGAGAGTAAGAAATTTTGCCTTTATTAAGTCGTTGGCACAGTCCCTCTTCCTATTTACGCGTGAATGGTCTTGTCTATTTCTGCTGGCTTCTAAATTTCGTCTTATCTCTAACGAGAGTCATCTAGATTCGAGAATATGAGAAGGCTAACGTGGTTAAATGATTGCTGATGGAAGTTACTGAGGATTCGAAGTGGTGGTGTCTCGTCCTTGTAAATACCTTGAGTGGTTGAGAGCGCATTAGATAATAGGAACGGGGATATCAGATATTATTTATTTATATCAAATGGCAGGCGTTTTGATGGTT